TCGCAACGCGTTAGGGTATTTGTTAAACAGCCGGAACGCGTTTTGTCAATTGTTGAACGCTTATAACGCGTTCTTAATGTTCGACTTGTATTATTTGCCGCTTTCTACCTACAAATGAATTTCAATCCATTTTTCAGTTTTTAGGAAACAATTCAATTATTGACAACTATAATTGGATACCAAAGATGGGTTCGGTTTTTCTCGCCGAATCATTTCAACAATATTAAATACCAGCGGACAAAATCTCCTTACTATCAGCATCAACTCAATCATCAGGAAACAAACAAGGTTTTGTTTTTTGTCTGTGCAAACGAATGTGCATTGATAAAAAATGCAAGTGTCGCAATTTAAATGTACTATGTAATTGGAAATGTCATTCAAATTGTTCTTGTAAAAATAAGTAATGTACCTATGTAAAGTACATGAAAGTACGAAAAATGGATTGAAATTCATTTGTTTTATAAGTACAATATAAATCTCATTGTACGCAGGTAAAAAGCGGCAAATAATACAAGTCGAACATTAAGAACGCGTTGCGAGCGTTTAAAAACAGCCAAAACGCGTTCTGTGCGTTCGAAGGCAGTCAGAACGCGATGTGGCCGTTTTTTCCGGCCACTGAGCGTTTTCGGTCTTCGGGCCTAACATTGAAGTATTAAAAATAACTCGTATTCTCGATACTTTCTTTAAATTGTTCCTAAAATAGTTCAGGGTAAATTTCTCTAAAAATTGTTCAAAAATAAATTAAAGCAAGTCTATAGCATATAAAAAATCTCATCATTATCGCTGAAATTTTGAAAACGAAAACCAAATGTGAAAAACTCACCGGATAGTAATTATTACCATATTGTTGTTAATTTTCCAACGAATGAAAAATAAACAAAACACTGCACTGTATTATGAATGGATAACATTTCCCGTTGATAACACCAAAATTATTTTGTCTTTGTTAAATGTTGTCACCATCGGGAAAGAAACATAGATTTTTTTAATGATTTCACAAAAGTTAGAATTCGAACCGGCAAGTACAGGTCTGACGAAGGAAGCTGGCGAGCGGTCGCGCAGGTACTTTCCCATTTATGACCTATTTGGGTAAGTCACTTGGAACCGATACACAAATAAGCTTTCAGTAGGCGTAAATTATAGTATTAATACAGATAGGACAGTAGGGTACTAGAAAATAATGTAAAAACATGACTTATCAAAAAGCAAAATTTAACCTATTGCTTTTGTTTTATAGTTAGTTTTCACATTCACTGTCATCATGGGAATCTCTATCATTGTCACCAACATCAACAATTAGTTCTTCTGTTTGTCTGTCTATTACTTGCTCACTGATCCCTATTTTTAAATATTTAATCTACGCCCCTGATAGGAATACTGAAGAATGAGGGCTGCAATCTTTATACCTGAAACTGCCTACTTTTGCCACCGCGCATCCACGCCATTTTAAAATTTCCGCCAGCTTCCAGCGTCAGGCCTGTA